CTCTACCACTTGAGCCACAGCGCCACTTCCGGCTTTTTTCTTTTTGCTTAGGAATCAAACCCAGGGCCTCGAGCATGCAAGGCAAGCACTCTACCACTGAGCCACCTTGATCCTTCCATTTCTCCTCTCTGGATCCTCAGAGCTCTGCTATCCAAGGTAGCATTGGGCATATGAAGCGATTGAGCCCTGTGCATGAGATTAGTGTGAAATGAGATGTAAGGCTTACGTGTACAAAACACCAAATAACAAAAACTAAGGGGAAAAAAGAATAAACTATCCCATTGCCTGCTGAAAGGACTACAATTTAGATATACTGACTTATATAACAACAGTAAAATTAACTTCTCCTTTTTCTTTCTCTTTCATTCTTTTGTGTCTGTCAGTACTGAGGTTTGAACTCAGAGCTGTGGGCCCTGCCCCTTTCCCTTCTTTTTCTTTTTTTTTCCCCCTCAAGGCTGAAGCTCTACCCCTTGAGCCACAGCTCCCCTTTTGCCTTTTCAGTGATTAATTGGAGATAAGATTCTTATGATTTTCTTTTATCTGCTTAGGCTTCAAACTGTGATCCTCAGAGCTCAGCCTCCTGAGTACCCAGGATGGCAGGCATGAGGCCCTAGTGCCCAACTTGTACCTGGTTTGTTTGACTCCAAATTGCAAATATAGCTGGGAATTTTTAAGTTAACCCAAGTGCTTCTCATTATGGACCTAATGAGCAGGTCATCTTGCAGGTTTTTCTCATCTCCCCCTAGGCCTCTCTGTCTAAGTACCAGATACTCTTTTCCTAATCCAGCCCCAGCACTGAAGATCCTGCTAGAAACTTCTTCCTCCAGAGGGTCTTCAAGAGATTTTGCTTCTTTGTTCTCAGGTTCGCTGGCCCCATTACCAAGCCCTTAGGTGGTCAGCAAACAGTACAGTGTTGTTGGCCAACTCCAGGGGGGAGGGTCAGGCAGCCCAAGTGCCAATCTAATGGGCACGTTGCAGGGAGGAAGCGCATAAGAAGTCACCATGCAGACAAGCACACACAACTCAAACAAACAAACAAAAAGAACTCAAAATGTGAATTACATCGGAATGACAAATAATAATGGTAACGGATTCAAAGAACAGAAAAGCGGAGGAAACTTCTCCCCTGCCTCCTTTACATCCTCAAATAGGAGCCCTGGCACTGGGGACCCCCTGTCCTTGCTGGCTCCCTCCCTCCACCTGTCCCCCACCCCGAGCCTGCAAGAGGGGCCCCCAAGTTTCCCACGGGGGTCAGCCTCTTCTCAATCTACTCACTCCCGACGAAGGCCTCTGGAAGACAGCACCGAGCAGGAGAGGCAGCTCTGCTGGGAACAGGAAGGGAACTGGGAAGCGAAACTGAAACTTTGCGCCCCATCTCGCGGGGTGGGGCGGGACGCAAAGCGCCTTTGCCCTGCGCTGGCTCAAGCCGCTACCCAGGTCTCCGTCTTCACGCCAGCCCGGACTGACACACCTGGAGTCATGGCCTCCAGCCTCAGCCCGCCGCCGTCCCCGCTCGTAGTGAGATTGTCCCAGACCATCCAGAAACGGCCTGGGACAATCTCCAGGAAGCTGGAGAGGTACTTCCAGAGCAAGGAGTCGGGCGGCGGGGAGTGCCGTGTGCGACCCGGGAGCCACAGCGTCTCTGATACCTTCCTGGTGGAGTTTGCAGATAGGGCAGGTGAGTGGGGGTGGGGGGCAGGCTGGGGTGCAAAGGCCGTCCTTTGTTGAGGGTACCCAGCCCTGCAGGTCCTAGAAGGGGAGGCCTGGACAGTGTGGCCCTTGGGGAAGGGAGGGAGACAGGGACCCCAGCAGACTTCCCAGCCCCACAGTGGAGGATAGATTCCCCCACTCCCCCTTTGTACCAAGCCCCTGGTCTGATTTCATTGCCCCCTAAGAATCACACTTTCCAAGTGTTTATCTGGACTGACACTAAAGTCAGGTCCCTTTCCATCTGCTCGCCAAGCACGGAGCCCTTCCTGGTCACTGCTGGAGTTTCATGCAAGCCTTCCACTTTCATTTGCTTTTGATCTTCTTTTCTTTCTTTCCTTTAAAATTTTTATTTTGTGTTACACTACTGAGCTACGTCCCTGGCCACTTTCAAGTTTTAAATCATTATCCATTAACTTGTGTTTGAGGATTGCAAAAGTAGTATATGCTTACCATAGAAAAGAGAGAACAGAAGAAAGAAGAAAATTATGTGGAAATTTGCGGTGAGACCATTTTGGTATATTTCCTTCTGGTCATTTTCTATAAATGTCAACAAATATATGTGCCTTTACAACATTGTAAGTCTGAACTTTGGATTCTCTCTTTTTTCCCCCTCTTAACTACATAATGAATGAGGTTTTTTTTTTCATATCGTTGAAATGAGGAATTAGAGACAATTTTCAGAAACATAATTTTACAGAGGAGAGGGTGTTCCATTAATTTAATGAGATGATGTTCCATTATCATTAAGCTCTCCCTCCCTCCCTCCCTCCCTCTCTCTCTCTACCTCCCCCCCTCCCTCCCTCCTCCCCCTCTCTCTTGTGCTGCTACTGGAGCTTTTACTCAAGGACTGGGTTTTTGTGCTCAAATCTGGTGCACACTTGAGCCACAGCTCCACTTTCTACTTTTTGCTGGTCAATTGGAGGTAAGAGTCTCACAGACTAGTCTGTCAATGCTGGCTTTGAACCACAATCCTCAGATCTCAGCCTTCTGAGCAGCTAGAATTACAGGCATAAGGCACCAGCATCTAGCTTAAGCTTTCATTTCTACAGTAAAACTCAAGCTACCTACTTCAGAGTTCTGAAGAACTCCATATACTTCTCACCAGCTCACCTTTAGACCAGGATGCAGGGGGACAGCTTGACTGCCACCTATCTGGGACAGCAAACAGATGAATGAAAGAGGCCTGGATGCATGGATTCAGCCTGTATGGATTCAACCAGCCAGGGATGGAAAATACTTGAGGAAAAAACAAAGCATTTGTAGTGAACATGTAGATATTTTTCTTGCCAATATTCCCTAAACAAATTAGTGTAATAAGTAATACAGTATTGCAGGTAACCTAGAACTTGTTTAAACTAGATAGGAGATGTGAGTAGAAGATAGGCCCATACTGTGCCATTTTTATGCCAAGAACTTGAGCATTCATGAATTTGTACATCCTTGGGGGTTCCCAGAACCAACTCACAGGAAATACCAAGGGCCAAACATTTGAACTCTTTTTTTTTCTTTTTTAAAATATATTTTTATATTGTAAAAATATTGTACAGAGGGGTTACAGTTACATGAGTAAGGTAATGAGTACATTACCTATAGAGCATTGTTGCTTCCTCCTTTGTTTTGAACTCTCTCTTGTGTGGACATTTGTTTTATGTCTCCCTCAAAGCCAAGAAGAGAGTGTTGGAAAAAGAGAAGCACCAGATTGCGGTTGACAATAAACATGTGACTGTTTTCCTGGAAACCACTAAAAAGTCAGAAGAGAATACAAGACCCAGAATTCCTTCGTTGACACAGTGGCAAGCGGAAGCACTGTCTGATGAGAAGCATCCCAAGGTAGGACTTGTTCCTAGAGCTGGGGACGCCTGTGTCCAAAAGCTGAGTGTTGATAGGAGTCTGTTCTGTTCCTGTGACTGCCCCTGTGGTCTCCATACCTTCTGCTCGGTTGGTCTAATAACCACTTGCTGGGGACTGACTGTAGTTTAGGAACTGGGACACAGAGGTGTGCACAAAAAGGTCCCTGCTGCCATTCAGCTTGTATTGGAGATAGAGAGGTGCACAGAAATAATAAACAATAAGCGAAGGAATGAATGGGACAAACCTATTTCAGAGACTAGTACATGGTAAGAAGAGAATACAATGCAGTTTGGCTTCAGAAAGGAACAGGGCCAGGGTGAGGAAGGGGAAGATAGAGATGGTTCTACTTCTGATGAAAAGGCAAAATCTACTTTTCTGCAAAAGGTGATATGTGGCCTAAAACTTAAATGATGAGAAGGAGGCAAACATCCAAAATTTCTTCAACAAATAGATACTGACTGCCTACTGTGTGCCAGACATTATTACAGGCTACGGGGCGGGGATACACCCAGGTGAACTACAGCCTCTGCACTTGAGGCCCTTACTTTCTAATAAGAGGAACAGATAATCATAAACAAGTAGATACACAACAAAATGCCTGCCAGTGGCAACCATTCCTGTTAGAGGGATGAGAAGAGGCTAGATTCAAGAAAAAAACAAAAAACACCTGAAAATCTAGAGGAACAATATTCCATGCCCCTCTCCCCCCAGAAAGTCCTCCTTGCAAAATTAAAATGAGAAAATTCACTTTTATCTTGCATCTGATTTGGCTCTGTCCTTTTAATCCTAATCTGATCCTTCTTTCCTATAACTGAGCCTCTAGAGACCAAGGTTTAAAAGGGACTAACAACTCTGCATAAAGTCAGAAGCTTACTATTTTGTTTTGCTTTATTGAAGGTAAGAAAATAAGAGGAAAAAGACTGATAAATAAGCAAAGCCTCTTTTGTCATATGGCTACCTTCTAAGCTTCTTGACTCTTGTGAAACCAGCAACTTGTCTAGAGTGCAGAAATACTTTCTCTCTACCCTCATCCTGTTTCCCCAAGGTTAAGTAGTTAATGCCAGATCTACAACATAGCTCTCTTAGCCACAGGGCTTTAAAATACTTATTCCTATTGAGTGCTGGTAGTTCACACTTGTAATCCTAGCTACTCAGGAGCCTAAGATCTGAGGTTGTCAGTTCAAAGCCAGTCTGGGAAGGAAAATCCATGAGACTCTTAACTTCATTTAAACAGCTAAGATCTGGAAGTGGGTCTGTGGCTCAAATGATAGAGCAGTGAAAAAGCTGACATGGTACTAAGGCCCTGAGTTCAAGCCCCAGAACTGGCACACATACAAAAACAGTTATTTCCTATACCTTACTACAAACAAATTACATGAATTTCTGAGATGAGTCTGGGCGCTGGCTTTTTTTCTTTCTTAAACCACTTACATGATTCTAATATGCATATAGGACTAAGAACTTCTGGGTTATAGCACACATTCTTCTTCTCAAAGGATTTGAAAAGAATAATTCCCTGCTAAGGAAAGACAGCCTTTCGAAGAGAAGACTGTAGGTGTGGGAGAAATCTTATTTCTACCTTTTCTTTTTACAATCTCAGGTCTTTCAGATGGTGGAGGCTAGCCTGAACTGTGACCTGTTTTCCAAAGAGCAGAGGGCACAAGTGACCATTCTCTGCCCTGGTATCAAGAAGATGGAGGGTGAAGATGGAATTGAGAAGGTTTCTGGTGATTTCAGAGACATTGAAAAAATCTACCACTTCTTCAGTAGGCAACTGATAGAACATGAGCAGGAAGAGATGTCTTCCCTTTCCACTGTGGAGACCGTGTCATCTGACCTGCAGGACTGGGACAGCAACCTGTACACTTCAGAACCAAACACCAGATCAGAAGATACAGGTTTTAAACTTTCTTTGCCTTACTTCGAATATTTCGTGCATTCTTGTCCTGATAAAATAGAATCCATACAGACACTATTTGGTGTACACATCCAAACTCAAGATATACCTCCCAATGCAGTCTATGTAGATTTTATCCCTGGTCAATCAGGTGATCTGGATGCAGCTCGAGAGTATTTTACCAAGGAGTTTCAGAAGAACACAGAATCTCTGAATCAAGACTCTGTCTCTTTAGCAGACAGTCAGTGGACAAAACAGGAACTGAGTCACTGTTTTAGAAAGCTTCTGATAAAAGAACAAGGAGGAATGCTAACTCTCCTTGGGACCCAAGATGACATTTCAGCTGCCAAAAAAAAAATCTCTGAAAATGTCAGGATACCTGTGAAAATATTACACATTTGGACGAATGAAATTGAGGTTAATACTGTTCTCTATAAGCTTCTAGAAGTTGAATTACTCCAGGAGATAAAAGAGATAGAGCAAAAGTACAACACTAGTGGTACAGTTTGTAGGAAACGTCAGAAAACATTCATTCAATTTAATCCTGGGGATAAGCAGATGGATCTGTCTGCCCATGCGTCTGCAAGTTTCATTGATGCTTTTCAATATGTCACAAGTCAGCTGGTAAGAGAAGATCTTTCACTGAAACATCTGGGCCAGGATAAAAAGCACTTACATTGGACCAAGTTTGTTGATGACTTTAGGAAAAGTCATCCATATATACACTTGGCATTGAACAAAGAGTCAATGACTTTGATTGGTTTGCCAAAGCATTTTGCTGAAGCTAAGCAGCATATCTTAGAAAGTGAGGTATTATCCACTGGAGGGAAATTGAATATGGAACAGGAGACACCCATGGAAATTGATCAGAATGCATCAAAATCAACTTCTCTCTCCCTCAGCAGCTCTGCACGTTCTGAGGTCTCAGAAGTGAATGAGAAGGAGAAAGCCATTTGTGTCATCTGCATAGATACCATTAGAAACAAGCACGTGTTGCCAAAGTGCAAGCATGAATTCTGTGATGATTGTATCAGAAAGTCCATGACATATAAGCCAGTTTGTCCTGTGTGCCAAGTTTCCTATGGTGTCCATAAAGGGAATCAACCAAATGGATCCATGACTCACACCATTTTGAAAGAGCCACTTCCAGGTTATGAAGGCTGTGGCACCATTGAGATTCAATATAAGATAGAAAAAGGCATACAAAGTGTAAGTTTCTGAGTTCCCTGCCTTTTTCCCCCCATTATGTTAGGATTACCAGAGCAAAAGTGGTTTCTCTGTTACCTCTTAGATAATAGATTTCCCAGAGAATTATTTCAAGGACATTGTGCAAGGGATTGAACATTCTTTGCTTTTAAGAGATATCATTCCTGTTTTCCTCTCCCTCTCTCCCTCTTCTTTTCTCTCTCCCTCTCTTGTTCTTCCTCTCCCATGTTTGGGATTGAATCCAGGGCTAAACAGACACTGTACCACCAAGCTAAAACCACAGCATTTCATGTCTATTTCGTTCCTTTTTGAAATGCTTCTTTTTTTATTATTAACTTCCAATAGTTGTACAATGGTGTTTTGATCTAACATGTCCAGTTATATTTAAAATGAATTTTTGTGGGGGATGGGTGCAGTACTGGGGTAGAACTGGGTGCTGTCCTGCAGCTTTTTCCTTTAAAGCTACCACTCTACCACTTGAGCCATGCTTCCACTTTCAGCTTTTTTGGGGGGTGATTAATTGGAGATCAGAATCTCACAGATTTTCCTGCCTAAGCTGTTTTGGAACCACCTCAGATCTCAGCCTCCTGTGTAGTGCTGGTGCTGTAAAGTTCATCGTGATCAGAGTTATCCCTTCTCTAGTTCCTTCCCTTCCCATCCACCCATCTCTTTGAGTTTTCTACTCGTGTCTGTTTCTTAAGGTAGAAGAAGGGTAGGTGGGAATTACATGTTGGGATGTGGGGAGTTGAATGGTAATATTCCTAGAATGAATTTGAAGAGAAGATACATGAATTATTGGGACTCTGATGACAGCTTTAGTACTTTTCTTTCTTTTAGTTTGTTCTATCTACAAAGAAAAAAAATATATGTAAAGCTTAGCAGCAGACTGTTTTCAAATGATATTTTCTTGTTTTCTTACAGAAAGAACATCCAAACCCAGGAAAGCCTTATTATGGAACACAGAGAACTGCATATTTGCCTAATAATAAGGAAGGAAGGGAGGTTTTGGATCTGCTCAAAATCGCCTTTGAACAAAAGCTGATTTTCACAGTGGGGGATTCTCGAGTATTGGGAGTCTCTGATGTTGTCACATGGAATGATATCCACCATAAAACATCAAAATATGGAGGACCACAAAAGTGAGAACTTCTTGAAATACAACAGTTGGTAAACGAAGTGTAGAGGTGATGAAATGTGGCAATTTCAGGGTGTGGATATAAGTAGACTTTATTTTTTGTCAGTCGTGGGGCTTGAACTCTGGGCCTGGGTGCTACCCTGAGCTCTTCAGCTCAAGGCAAGAGTTCTACCACTTGAGCCATGGTGCCACTTCCAGTTTTCTGGTACTTAATTGGAGATAAGAGTCTCACGGACTTTCCTACCAGAGCTGGCTTTGAACCATGATCCTCAGATCTCAGCCTCTTGAGTAGCTAAGATTATAGGCATGAGCCCACTGGAGACTGGATTAAGTAGACTTTATCAACAGTGGTATTTTGCAATATTTTTAAGAGATGTTAATTTGGTATAATAATTTCAAAGCCAGAAAGTGGTATTTTGCAGTATATTTAAGAGATGTTAATTTGGTATAATAATTTCAAAGCCAGAAAGATTGGTCTCTATAACCCTTTTTCTTGCCAACCACAGAGTTTTATGTACTTAGGACAGTGGTATCCACGTTGACTTAGTTTGGGGCTTTATGTCTGTTTGAAGGGCTGATCATAGGAATATTATTTGCTTTTGCTTAAGGTCATCTTTTGAGGTCCTATCTTTTCCCCTTCTTTTTATAACAGACCACAAAGAATCTGAACTCACTTGGCCAAAGGCATGCTAGAAAAAGGTTTAGTTGTAAGGGAACTAATTGGTAGTAGAAGCTGTGTAATAGGAGATCTGATTTTTTTTTCTTGGTGGTACTGGGGGTCAAACTCTCAGGGCCTCCTGCTTTCTAGGCAGGTGCTCTATCATTTGAGCTATTCTGCTGGCCTTTTTGTGTTGTGTGTGTTGATTAGTTAGAGCCTTGCTTTATGCCTGGCCCATCCTTCCTGGGCTGCGATCCTCCTATTTGTGCTTCTGTGCATCATTGGGGATGACAAGTGACTGCCACTGTGACAAACCATTGGTTGAGATTATGTCTCAAAAACTCTTGTATGTTTGTTTATATTTTTAATGCCTTGGCTGACTTCAATGGCAATCCTCTGCCTCATTTCTGCTTTTCAAATAGCTAGGACTACATTCTTAAGCTACCACATACATATATCAGGGAATCAAGTTGCTTTCTTTCTTTTTTTTATGAAACTCAGAGTACCTCAGACAAAAAAAAATATTTTTTGACGTGTGTGTGTGTGTGTGTGTGTGTGTGTGTATGTGTGTGCGCGCGCGCGTGTGTGCGCTGGTACTTGGCTTAAACTCAGGGCCTAGACACCATTCCTTAGCTTTTTTTTGCTAAAGGCTGTCATTATTTCAGCTCCATTTCCAGATATTTGCTGGTTAAATGGCAATAAGAATATCATGGACTCTCTTGTCCTAGCTGGCTAAAAGCTTTGATCTTTAGAGCTCAGCCTCCTGAATAGCTAGAATTACAGCCATGAGCCAAAGGTGCCCAGCTTAAACTATATCTTGGGAGCTTTTCCTATCCCTCAAACTTTACAATCTTATTTGTAAAACACAGCGTGTCATAATCTTAAAAGCATTACAGCTTATAATGAACTGAAAAGTTTAAAGCCTGCTGGCCTGACTAAATGTACTTATTAGCTAGCTGAGTCATATCTGCACACTGAAAATGATTATACAGAGGTTAGAGATATGGCTCAATTGGTAGAGTGCTAGCCAGTGAGCAAAAGTGGCAGATACTGAGTTCAAGTCCTGGTCTTGGACCTATAAAAAAGAAAAAAAAAGAAAGAAAATAATGATTATACATCATCTACCATCAGGACTTACCTGTGAATGTTTGTAACCTTCAAATACAGAAGATCTATTGTATAGATTCTTTAGAACCATTGATGTGAAACTAAAGAGTTGGTTTTTTTTGTTTTTGTTTTTGTTTTCATTTTGCAGCTTTGGTTACCCTGATCCCACGTACCTGGAACGTGTCAAGGAGGAGCTGAAAGCTAAAGGAATTGAAAAGAAAACTCCTGGAGGGAAGTCCTAATTCAAGCCTTCAGAAGATGTATTTTAGGAGGCTGAATGAATGCCAATCTAAATCTTTCTATAGAAATACTTTCAAAATCTTTTCATCTCAAGAAATGTTTTGTGTAAGAGTAAAGTTCTGCTAGCCTCTTATTTCTGGATGTTGCTTTTTTATGGAAGGTAAAGATAAAGAACAGTGTGATTTTATGGCAGAAATTTAGCTTCATTCTTATGTCATGGTTAGGGTATGGGGTGGTTTGAAATTTCTGTCCTTCAGTTTAGCTACTATCATACAATGAAGTCCTCTCTCCTCCCTTCCCCTTTTCTCTTCCTCCCCTTCTCTCTTTTCTTTTCCTGTTGGTTCTGGAAATCAAACCTAGGGCAGTGGAGTTCTACCTACAGCCTCTTGAGCCTTCTCTCACTGCCATCTCTAGGACAGTACTTTAATTGCCATTTAATCTCTAGCTATGAAAGCAAAACCTTTGCATAAATGAAAATGTTTTTAGCAGGTTTTAGTGATGGAAAATTAGAGACCGGAATTCGCCACTCACTTCTTCATAGCAGTGGCTAAGGAGCCAAGATTAGGCCACTTTGGGTAATAACTGGAGTAAGGAAATTACTTTTAGTCACACAGTGCCTGGCTTACTTTTGCTACTTGTTATATTTTTGTTGCCTGACTCAGGTTCCTAATAGTTGGTGGAGGGATATACTCTCCTATATCTTTAGCAGCAACAGGAATTACAAAACCATTCTTAGAACATTCATCAGAAACTGTTTCCTATTCTGGATACTTGTTGGCTGAATTCTGACTAAGCCCAAAGCCTGGCCCTTGATTCCTCCATGATTCTTGGAACCTGCCTAAAGGGGTGCATTTTTCCTGCTATGGAAATGTTATATATTTCTGATCTATTTATTCTTCTGGATATGTTGTGCTTTTCAATATACCTTGCTTTCCAGACCTAACATTTATGGTCTAATATGTAAGAGTTTTTGTAACCCTCTCAAATGTCAACCACTCAAGTTAGAAATATTTTACCCCTCTCGACAGGAAAAGGAAGTGTTGAGAGTTCAATTCACTATAAGGAACATAGGACATGTCAAAATTTACTTTCATTTGATTCTCCAAGTCAGAAGAAAGTTGTAACAAGCCAATTATCTGGTTACCTGTGCCACACCTCTCTCTCAAAATGAGAAGAATATGACTTGTCTTGTTCTTTTCCTAAAGATAAATGTGCACACTGACAAACTTTTTTGGCCTGATAACAATACTTCATATTTATTGAGTATTTACTCTGTCCCTTTTCTAAGAGTTTTATGTTATTTGGTTAATAAAATCTCCATTTTATGCATGCGGGGTGGTGGTTAAATCATTCACCAGAGTCACAGGGTAGCAACCAAAGTACTGGCATTTGAACCCATGCACCCCAGGGCCATACAGCCTTCAAAAGGGGGTGCTTCTCCATGGAGCAAGCTGAGGAGCTCCTTATGTCTTGTCCTTCCCTCAGTGATTCCTGCACAGTGCTCAAAGCAAACTTCCTGCTAAGAAGTCCAATTTGAAGAACATATCCTACCTACTCAGCAGGCTGAGGTGTGAGGATCACAGTTTTTTTTTTAAGTGTAAAGGTGATGTAGAGAGGGGTTAAGTTACATAAGTCAGGTCATGAGTACATTTCTTTTTGAACAGTGTCACCTCCTCCTTTATTTTTTTACAGTGTTGTCCCTCCCTGTTCCCCTTCTCCCAAAATTGTATCCTTCATCTCCAATATAGTGTCCAGTGAATATCACTGGTGAATTAGTTTGAAACCCACCAAGACAGGGAAATCTCACTTCCACTCAGTCACCAAAAACCTAAAGAGAAGCATGGATCAAGTAATAGAGCACCAGCCTTGAGCAAAAAAATCTAAGGGACAATGCCCAGGGCCTGAGTTCAAGCCTCAGTGCCAGCACAAACAAACCTTAAAAACTCAGAGTCTTTTCCTTTCATTGGTCCAGAATGTTAAGGTAAATGACATGTCTTTTATTTTAATCAGATTATGCATTTAATTTTTTAAGATACACGTTGGCTATGTTGCCCAGAGTGGCCTTACTCTTGAGATCTTCTCACCTTAGCTTCCATAGTAGCTGAGATTACAGATACATACCTTTACCTTCTAGTTAGTTGCTAATTTTTTATTTTTATGATTGATTTTTATCTTTTGATCTTTTAGTTAAATTTTCTCCAAAAATATAAAAGTTTGATTTCTGCTAACTTCCAGATATTGTATTGCATTGGGTATATGTAAGTTTCATGATGTGAAAGACTGGTGAGCATTTGGATTACTACTTTTGCTCTCTGAAAGATGCCATGATCTATCTGCCTTAAATAAAAGTATATCACCATTTAGAACAGATTGTCTGTGTTCTTTCCTTCACTCTTTTTATTCCTTTTCCCTTAGATTGAGGTTTTGTTTCCCATACCTCATGTAGTTTACAATTTTATACCATATGGATGTCTTGAGCTGATTTTATGTATAGCTGTTCTATCTATAGCTCCATTTCTAGCTTTTTGCTTGTTAATTGGAGATAAGGGTCTCACAGACTTTCCTGTCTGGCTAGCTTCAAACCATGATCCTCAGATCTCAGTCTCCTTGAGTAACTAGGATTACAGTTGTGAGCCACCAGCACCCAGTCTCCTTTTAGATTTTCAAATTTCACCTTCCTTTAACATCTTCCAAGTTGCCTCCCCAGGATGACTGAAATACTTTCATGGGCTCTCTCTGTCCTGGTCCTTTTCACTACCTTTTTTTGTTTAACTACATTTTTATTATCTTTAAGCAGTTGCACATAGGAGTTACCATCTAACAAAGAATTGGTTGGACTTGGGAAAATACATGGAGTGAAGTAAGCTAGGCTCAGAGAGACAAAGGGTGTGTGTTCTCTCTCATATGTGAACTAATTATGAATGTACAAGTAAACACATGGGGTTGCATGCAAGCACACACAAATGTATTAATCAAAGTATGGTATTTGCAGACACAGAATGAATGCCAATTTTGTTGTATACTTAAAAAGAATAGAAGCTGGGTACTGGTGGCTCACACATGTAATCCTAGCTCCTGAGGAGGCTGAGATCTGAGACTCGCAGCTCAAAGCCAGCTCAGGCAGGAGAGTCTGTGAGATTCTTTTTTTAAAAAATATATTTATTGTAAAAATGTTGTACAAAGAGGTTACAGTTACATGAGTAGGGTAATGAGTATATTTTGTAGGGAGCATTTTACCTCCTCTTTTGTTTTCTCCCTACCATCACTTCCCTCCCCAACTCCTCCCGCCCCCCACAACGATGACATTGAAAAGTTTGTTTTTAACATAATGTCCTGTACATCTCATCGTCATTGTCACAATGGGTCAGCCTGCATCCCCATTTAAGCATTCCCCAATATCCCTTCCCCTCCCCAAATTACAAAAATGTATATACAAGGTGCAGAACACCGGCATCAAACCCAGTGAAAATGGGTTATACTGTGGGGGAAGAACATACAAAAGAAACAAAAGAATTACATAGTTCATTGTAAGTACATTAAAAACACTAGCAAGAAAGAAAAAAACCACTTGTGTCCCAGTCTTGGGGTACATTTTGCTTAACATTATCTCATGTGGTCATATGTACATAGCCTTGACCTTATCTGCCTGTCCTAGACATATACTAGTCATTGCAAACATATATATATATATATATATATATATATATATATATCACATTTTCTTGATCCATTCATCTATCTCTATATATGTATATATATATCACATTTTCTTGATCCATTCATTTATTGAGGGGTATCTTAGCTATGGTAAATAAAGCTGCAATACACATAGTTGTGCTGGTAGCTTTAGAATGGTCTTGTTTGTGATCAATCAGATAAATGCCCAAAAGTGGGATTGCTGGGTCATAGGGTAGCTCTATGTGGAGTCTTTTGAGGAACCTCCACACTACCTTCCAAAGTGGTTGAACAAGTTTACACTCCCACCAACAATATATACACAATAGAATTCTATGTCCTCATCAGAAATGACATTGCCTCCTTTGTTAGGAAGTGGAAAGACTTGGAAAAAATTATATTAAGTGAAGTAAGCCAGGCCCAAAGAAACATAGGTCTCATGCTTTCCTTTATTTGAAATAACTAGTATATGTATGAGACAAGCAGAAACAGATAAGTTGATGTTAGGCGAAATGAACCCCAAGATAAGGACACAAGCAGTTTTTTTTCTTTTTTGCTATTGTTCCTAACATATTTATAAGGTGATTGTTTTGTTGCTTTGTATGGCCCTCCCTCACGGTATAACCCCTGTTTTCACTGTATTTGATATTGGTATAATTTAGCTGGAAGGGAAAAAAACAAATTGTTTAAATAGGGATACATGTTGACCCATTGCAACAATGAGATGTACAAAATGCTATGTTGAAAAACGAACTTTACAACTTGGGGGGGGGAGGAGTGTAGTCGTGGGAGGACAAGGATGGTAGGGGAAAAATAAAGGAGGAGGCAATAATGTTTGATAAGAAATGAACTTATTACCTTGCTCCTGTAATTGTAACCCCTCAGTACAGTATTTTTACAATAAAAACTTATTAAATAAAAAAAGAAATAGAGGAAGCAATCCAAAAATTCACATGGAACACTAAAAGACCCTGAATAGCAAAAACAATCCTTAGTCGAAAGAACAGTGCTGGAGGAATATCAATTCCAAATTTCAAACTCTACTACAAAGCCATAGTAACCAAAATAGCTTGGTACTGGCACAAGAACAGACCTGAGGACCAATAGAATAGGACTGAAGACTCAGAAATGAACCCACAGACCTATAGCACCTAATCTTTGACAAGGGAACTAAATAGAATGCTCTGCTTTGAAGGCCTTGTAGAATTCCATTGTAAATCCATCCGGTCCTGGGCTTTTCTTAGATGGAAGGGCTCTTACTGCTGTTTCTATTTCAATGCTTGATATGGGCCTGTTAAGTTGGTTTAACTCATCTTGGTTTAGTTTCGGCATGTTGATATTTACTAGGAAAAGGTCCATTTCTTCCAGGTTCTCAAACTTATTAGCATAAAGTTTTGAGAAATATTCCCTTATAATGTTCTAGATCTTGGTTGTTTTTGTGGTGCTGTTTCCATTCTC